AACTCACCAAGGCCAGCTGGCCTGGGTCTGAAAAAGCCTGAGTTAAAACCGGTCTCACTGAACATAGTGGACAATGAGGACTACTGAGACCTCAAGAACAATGGCAATGGGTTTTTGATCCTACTGCACGTATTGGCTTTGTGGGAGCCTAGGCAGTTTGGATGCTCACCTTACTAGACCTGGATGGAGGTGGGTGGTCCTTGGACTTCCCACAGGGCAGTGAACCCTGACTGCTCTTTGGGCTGACGAGGGAGGGAGACTTGATTGGGGGAGGGGGAGGGAAAGGGGAGGCGGCGGTGGGGAAGAGACAAAAATCTTAAAGAAAGAAAGAAAGAAAGAAAGAAAGAAAGAAAGAAAGAAAGAAAGAAAGAAAGAAGGAAGGAAGGAAGGAAGGAAGGAAGGAAAGAAAGAAAGAAAGAAAGAAAGAAGGAAAGAAAGAAAGAAAGAAAGACATATAAAAAAAAAAGTCCTTGATGAAGCCTGACCCCAACCTGATCTGGATCATAACTGCGATGCTTCTTGTCCAGCTGATTTCACTTTACCTAGTGAAAGACTTGGATTGGAAATGGGTCATATTTTGGTCCTATGTTTTTGGCAGCTGCCTTAACCACTCAATGACTCTGGCTATCCATGAGATTTTCCACAATTTCCCCTTTGGCCACCACAAGGCAGTATGGAACCGCTGGTTTGGAATATTTGCTAACCTCCCTATTGGAGTTCCATATTCAGTTTCCTTTAAGAGATACCACATGGACCATCATCGATACCTCGGAGCTGATGGCATTGATGTGGCTATTCCTGCCGATTTTGAGGGCTGGTTCTTCTGCACCACCTTCAGGAAGCTTGTCTGGGTTATCCTTCAGCCTCTCTTTTATGCTTTTAGACCCCTGTTCATCAATCCCAAACCAATTACTTATCTGGAAATCATCAATACCGTGACCCAGATCATTTTTGACATTATAGTTTACTATGTTTTTGGAATTAAATCTCTAGTCTACATGTTGGCAGCCTCCCTGCTTGGCCTAGGTTTGCACCCAATTTCTGGGCATTTTATAGCCGAACATTACATGTTCTTAAAGGGACACGAAACTTACTCATATTATGGGCCTCCGAATCTGCTGACCTTCAATGTGGGCTATCATAATGAACGCCATGACTTCCCCAACGTTCCTGGAAAAAAACCTGCCCCTGTCTCACGAAGAATGCCAGGGAGTCTGGAAGACCACGAGCAAGGCGGCACCCTCTGGCTGAGTTGGCGGTTGTCCACCGTCTGTCATCTCGAGGCCTCAGTAACACTCATGGTTCACCTTGCTGTGTTTTTTCACTTCCAGGTGAGGAAAATAGCAGCTGAATGCTACGATAAACTCCCCCAGTACAACTCCTGGATCAAAGTGCTGTATGATTTTGTGATGGATGACACAATAAGTCCCTACTCACGGATGAAGAGGCCTCCAAAAGGGAGTGAGAATCTGGACTAAATATCACAGCCAAAGGAATTCCTCTCCAAAGCTTCATAATAGCTGATAAAGTGGAATTTTCATCTTGTTAGCTTAAGATCAGTGATGCTCAGAAGCTGCACTGGCTTATTTTAAAACTAGGATCTCTGTGGTATCAGAGGCTACTACTCAGCCTGAGACAGCCAGTCTTGGCTTGCTCGCCTGTACTCATGCATTGTATTACTGTTACTAAGGGTGTGTCCACCTGCATCTGTCATACTGTAAGCGTATCATAAAAAGACTATTATGTTATTTTTCACTATAGAGTTTTACTTTATTAAAACAACTAATAAACCAAACTGTTAATCACAGTAAAAAAAAAAAAAATCAGTGCCATTGTCCTTGGCTTCTCAGTCAGTCCTCCATGTCAGCCATGTTCAAAGAGTCCAGTTTGATCACATGCTCCATCAGTCCCAGTCCAACTGGCCTTGGTGAGTTTTCATTAGATCGATCCCACTGTCACAATGGATGGGCGCACCCCTCGCGGCCCTGACTTCCTTGCTCATGTTCTCTCTCCTTATGCTCCTCATTTGGACCTTGGGAGCTCAGTCCAGTGCTCCAATGTGGGTCTCTGTCTCTATCTCCATCTATTGCCAGATGAAGTTTCTATGGTGATATGCAAGATATATATTAGAGTGGCTATAGGATAGGGCCATTTCAGGCTCCCTTTCCTCAGCTGTTCAAGGAACAAGCTGGGGACATCTTCTTGGACACCTGGGAACCCCTCTAGAGTCCAGTCTCTTGCCAACCCTCAAATGGCTCCCTTAATTAAGATATATACTTCCCTGCCCCCATATCCACTCCTCCTCCATCCCAACTGTCCCATTCCCCCAAGCTCTCCCCCAAAGGTTTGGTAACATTTTAAATTCTACTTAAAAGTATAAGGTGGCTGTTGCAGTGAGGGTTCCCATCATGGTCTTGGCATCTTTGTTCATATTCTCACTCCTCCAACTCTTCAGCTGGACGCTCAAGCTCAGCCCAGTCCTCCACTGTGGGTCTCTGCCTCTGTTTCCATCAGATGTTGGATGAAAGTTCTATGGTGACATTTAAGATATTCATCAATCTGACTAGAGGGCAAGGCCAGTTTGAGCACCTGCTCCATTATTGCTTAGGGCATTAGCTGGGGTCAACCTTGTAGATTCTTGGGAATTTTTCTAGTGCCTGGTTACTTGCTTGCCCCATAATGTCTCCCTCAATCAAAATATTTCTTTCTTTGCTCTCATATCTGTCCTTCCTCCATCCCTACTATCCTATTCACTCAAGTTCTCGGTCCCCTTCTTCACTCCTCTTCCCCATCCACCCTCCCTTCTCCTCTCACTCCCATGCTCCCAATTTTGTCAGTGATCTTGTCTATTTTCCCTTTCCAGGTGGATCTATGTATGTTTTGCTTAGGGTTCCTGAGCTAATAGGAGCTCATCGACTCCAGCTCCACAAGGAAGGAATCAGCGTAGGTCCAAACAAGTACCTCTGAATGTGGGCAACAGTTGAATGGCTTTGGCAAACTGCAGGGCTACTTCCAGTGGCACCAGGATTTATCGCTACTGTTTGTACTGGCTTTCTGAGAACCCATTCTCTTTGGATAAATATGTTGCTCAGGCAAGATATAGTAGGGAGGACCTTCCCCAAAGCAATGAACCTTTACCCTCTCTGAGGAGTGAATGGGGGTAGGGAAGAAAGGTAGAGGAAACAGGAGGAGGGGAGTGAGAGGGAACTGGAATTGGAATTGGTATGTAAAATGAAAAAAGGTAGTTTGTTTTCTTTTTAAAAAGTAAGAATAAAAAATCTATAGAGAAAAAAAAGATAGGAAATGTTACATTACTAGTCCACAGATAACATAGAAGGTCCTCAAATTCAGATATTTCTCTTGGTATTTATGACATCTTCGGTGTTTTACATTTCTGTAAATCTAATATCTGAAGTAATTATTTCATTTGCATGAATGAGAACAGGTATGCTTAAGTGTTTTAGGTTATTTTTTCTTAAAATGGGTTGCTGTAAATATTTTTGCACAGGATAGAATAATGGGTTTTGAAAATATTCTAAATATCTGGTTTAAATAGTATAAACAAGAGGAAAGACATCAAGAATGATCTAAGAATACAACCAACTAATAGCAAATGGAGTGTTTAATATGTAGACTAGAGGTTCTCTCATTCTGGATTATGCTTCCTTGTGATATGTTACACTGTGCTTTTGATATTGCCTAGCCATGTTTACATTCAAGTGATTGATAAAAATTATGTCATTTCAGACTCCTCCCTACAAAACATATGGTTTTCACTATATAGGAGACAATGAACGTGGATTGTCTTTTGACTTACTTTTTCATTTTATTTTTTAAAGATTTATTCATTTTATTTTATGTATGCGAGTGTTTTGCCCGTAGGTATGTTTGTGTACAATGTTAGTAACTGGTACCCCATGAAAATGAAAATGTATCAGATCCCCTAAATCTGGGGTTACAGGAAGTTTTGAACCACCATGTGGGAGTTGGGATTTGAAACCAGGTCCTCTAGAAGAGCAGAAAATACTCTTAACCACTGACCCATCTCTTCAGCCCTGAGGACTGTTCTTATGAGTTCAGTCATACCATCTGTTCTATATTTATTTATTCATTTATTTATAGTTTCATTTAGATTTATTTTTCATTTCAGAATTACCACTAAACTGTCTTTAAGTCCAATAAAATCCAGTGGCTTTAATAATGTCAAACTCTGTTTTCCTGCTTGGGCATCTATTGTTCAATTGAAGGCGTTGTTCTTTTAAGGAAATGTCTTCAGATACTTACATCCCACTCACTCTCATGCGGTGTGTTCTCTGCCACATGGATTCCTTACCCTGACAGGTTATTAGTGAATTGATCTTATGCTCTAAGAGTACATATTTAGTTTCTTTAAATCATTTTTTATTTTATGTGTAGTGTGTTTTGCTTACATGTGTGTCTGTGTACTGCATTCATGCTTGGTGCCCACAGGGGCCAGGAGCAGGAGTCAGAGTCCCTGGAACCAGAATTACATGCAATTGATAGCCACTATAGGTGAGTTGGGACTTGAACACAAGTCCTCTGAAAGAGCAGCTAGTGCTCTTCATCTCTAGGCCTTTTCTCCAGCCACCTATATTTTTATTTTTCCAGTCATTTCTCCCGTGATATTTCACTTTGCTTTGTTTTTCAAGATTCATTGTCTTCCATAGTGTTGTCAAGCTATGTTATATCAAGATGTGTGTGCACTTTTGTAAAAAAAAAATCCAAGTGTGGTGCCCAGACGTGAGGCTAACTGAATCCACAAAAAGCCTGAGAAAGCTTGGGAAAGAGTAAAGCATGTTTTCTTGGTAGCAGCAGTTTCTCGGGTCTCCTCTGCTTGTTAGAAGCAAGCAAGCACTCTCATCTAAGAGAGGCTTCCTGACTCAGCTTCAGCTGCAAAACCCTGCAGCTCATTAAGAGGTCCTGCCACAAAACACTTAAATGGTGTTGGTGAAAAGCTGAACGCATGCTTTTCGGTTTTCAGCCGTAGCAGGAAAAAAGCTGCGCTGTTCAAAAATGCCGGCTTTCTGGGCTGTCCTGCCACGGCAAACTCTGACTCTTTTACGCAGGCGGTTCGTGTGGTTTGCAAGCACAGGCTGCTGAAGCTCGCTTGCTGGCAGGGACCTTGAAATGCCATAGAGTTGTGGCAGTAAACGTGGCTACAACCGGTACCTCAGCCATGAGGCCGGAAAGCTAAGGAATGGACTGGATCTAGCTGGCAAAGCCACGGCTTTAATCCTACTCATATTGCTCAGTAATTTAAAGGCTCGTGTGGTCAGAAAAAGAGAGATATACAGTAAAGAGATTCAAAGACAAAGAAAATGTTTAAATGATTTACAGTGTGTTAAAAATATATGCAAGCTAAAAGTTAAAAGTTCTTAAAAAAAAAAAAGAAAAAGAGAAGTTGTGTGTGGTAGTACACGCCTTTAATCCCAACACTTGGGAGGCAGAGGGAGATTGACCTCTGTGACTTCAAGGTGTGGTAGCACACGCCTTTAATCCCAGTGCCTAGAAGGCAGAGACAAACAGATCTCTGTGAGTTCAAGGTGTAGTAGCAAACACCTTTAATCCCAATGCCTGGGAGGCAGAGACAGGCGGATCTCTGAGAGTTCAAGGAGAGCCTGGTCTACAGAGTTATTCCAGGTCAAAGAGATACAGAGAATATAAAAGTAAAAATAAACGAAATAGAGGTTAAAATAAAGCGTACAAAGATGGAAAATACACAGAGAATCTTGATACTGTATACTATTATGCTCTCTTTGAATTGTTTGAATGCTGAGGAAGGAGCAACAGCTGCCAAAAGATATTTGTTTATAAATGCTGCTGAACTAATCCAACGTAGAGATTTTGATGCCTTGACTTTGAAATTTGGATCTAAGGACATGATACTTTGGAAAGGAGTTTCTTTTTTTGTTTTCACAGAGGATGAGACCCTGTTCATTTCTTCTATTCCGATATGGTATGATGGACCACGCCCTCCTGAACGGTTGCTGTGAATACCTTCAGAAAATTGCTTCGCTCAACTGCCAACTGAGATGAAACTAGCACACAGGTTATACCATGAAAGACCTAATTAACGACGCCCCCATTCAGCAGGAAGCAGTTTGGAGAGAAAAAACTGCGCCCATGTTCCCAAATATGGTTTATAAATGTTCTTTTACATTTAAAGGGGGATATGATATAGATATGAATAATTTGCATTAGTATAGATTTTGCTTTATTGATAGAGATTTAAGGTCAATTTTGAATGTATATAGGTTGTTAATGAATAATCATTAATAGTAGTTAAGCTTGTAGTTATGTTAGTTAAGATTTTCTAGATGTGCATAGATATATTTTAGATAGGCATTCTTCATATCTTTCAAAGGCTAGAGAATATGGCATTTTACATGTTTTAATAACTTAGGACTTTTCATGACAATGAGACACTCTGCTCCTGGCAGCACCAATCTACTTCAAGAGGAAGATGGGCATC